CTACGAGAAAAGGAATCCGACAGTGAAGATGAAATGTAAGTGGCTAGAATATCTGCGTTCAATAACACACCAGCAACACGGTAATTATGTTTCAGCAATATTTAACCCTTTAAGCGCGTCTACTTCTTAGATAGGTATTACAGCAAAGGTATTACCCCCATCACCACCGCCATCACAACAACTACGACGATGACGATGACGACGACGACAGCAACGACAACAACAATAAGAACTATGATAATAACTACGCGGTGGTTTTAAGCAACCTCCGTTTTTAGCGTCAGCGTCGTAAATGCATAATAGCGACGGTTGTACAAGTTTTGGCCCAAGAATAGATAACATGGGTCCCAATAAAACCAATGTGCCTAACCCTAACCCTAACCCTAACCCTAACCATAACCCTAACCTATTATATTGATATAATATTATATTTATATTGATGTAAATGACATTGGTTTTATTGGGACCCATGTTCTCTATCCTTGAATCCAAGTTTTGACCTAAACCTCGTCTTGATCTTTTGTTATCTGCGGTTAGTAATGAAGGAATACGACTTACCGAACGGGGCAGGAAGGCCTCACTGTCGTAGCATCCAACCAAATAGTTACGTGACTTCAGGCACATACAGCCTTGGAACTTTCCTTCGTCTTGTTTAGATTTTATTTTCTGTTGTCCTTGCCTACGCGAGCAGAACATATTAGCTACGCCACGCTCCTCGACGTTCATAACAGTTTGTTGATGGTTGGCATTCAGTGATTGAAGCTGATTAAATTCTATAACATCTTGTTACTCTATCGTTCTTCCCTTTTATTAATTGTTCACTGGCCGTCTCCTTCGTCGCAGTTCACTTTGATAAGTTAGTTGTGTTGATCTCTGCTGTAAACAATCTTGTTTTTCAATGCGAGTGGTGATACTTCAGTGTAGCCAGGAGGTAATTAACACAATAGATGCAGATAGCATCACCGCTGTGGTTTAACCGTAGCATCCGTGTTACTCATTTCTAACTGCAGCGTTGTTAATTAGTGTGGATTCAGCATTAGCAACCAAGTTGTCTCAGTGTAACCATATCCATATATATCTATGGTGTAACGTAGTTTCACGGCAGAGTTCTAATGTTGGTGTCAGCGTTCGTTACGCTTCAGTGCACCTGTACTTCTGAATGTGACCTTGAAGTAGAGTTCAGAGCAGTCAACCTGAGCCAGGCTCCAACCAATCAGAGAGTGCGACAGCCACCCTCGACGTTTTACATACAGAGATAATAATAATAATAATAATAAGAAGAAGAAGAAGAAGAAGAAGAAGAAGAAGAAGAAGAAGAATAATAATGTTCTAGTTATATCGCACTATTGCTATTTCTGCTCCTCTTCCTTCTTTCCTTGCTCCTCCTCTCCTTCCCCGCCGCCTTCTCCCCTGCTCCTCCTCCTCCTCCTCCACCTCCTCCTTGTATTGTTATATTTCTCTATCACCCTGATCGCCCTTTCCTAACGCACATCTCTCGGTCGTTGGTCTTCAAACCCTCCACAGAGAAGTTTAGACATAAGATGATGGCGCATTTCACTGATCGCACGCTTCCTAAAGCCATACATATCTCTCCCTCTCTCATCCTTTATATCGTAGTCGCTAGGCAACGGCATATGTTCGCGGAACTAAGAAAGCTCGTGTGTGCAGCCGTCGTCCAACTATGAGAAGCCGTTCCAAATAAATAACATTTACTGAATAGAATCGCACGGCATTGCAGCGCCGTGATAAGCGAATCGCTAACTCACCAATTGTTCGATTATGTCAGTTTGTTTACATTCCTCGGATCGCCACGATGTAAAATGAATCGCAATCAGTCGGTTTTAACGTTTAGCCAACCTATATTCGCATATTATCTTCCCATAGACTCGCACATTCTTTCCAGAGAGCGGTGTCGCCAATGATCTATTGACGTCTTTGTGCACGTCTATTGGTGACGTACTAGTAACGGCGCGTGATGCACACATGACGTTATGGTTATCGAAGGATAAATAATATGGCTATTACTTCTTAGTATTAGTTTGGAGAGAGGAGTTTGTGGCTACCTGGAATGGTTCTAGTATTTCCGAAGAATACACGATAGACTACAGCTGGCTGGCTACGTTGTTAATGTCTCAGCGATATTGCAGGTTACTAAACGCGAGAGATTCCGCACGCTATCTCCCGCTCCCAGCATAGTCACTGTCACGTAGAACGTCTACTGTCACATAGAACGTGATACTGTCACACATAGCATGCTTGAGGTCACAGAGTTTATCTGCTGTCATTCAGCATGTCTAATGCCGCGTGCAGTGCTGAATAGTCGCTAGGACATCAGCAGCCCCATGGGAGGCGTGGATGTTTCGGAAAGATGTTATTAGAATTGAAGGAAAACTGACTGGCGACTTGACGGAGACCAATATAGATCGAGCAGGAGAGAGGGAGAGACAGGGGGAGAGAAAGAGAGGCCGGCAGACAGAAAAGGGGAGTGCGGTTGGGTAGGTAGAGAGTGAGCCGGAAAGAAGGCGCGAGATGGAGATAGAGACAGCGATACGCAGGGAGAGAAAGATCGAGAGAGAGATACAACAAAGGAGAGAGGTTGGCGGAGTGAGAGAGAAACAGAGAGGGAGATAGAGAGATGGAGAGAAAGATGGAGAGAGCGCGTCAGATAGAAAGAGAGGAAAAAGGAGCGAGGGAGAGAGATAGATAGGAAGAGAAAGCAGGGGAAGATAATGGGAGAAAGAGAGAGAAAAGAAATATTTTATTGAGAGTATAAAGTTTGATCCTTGCTGTCAGTGCTAGTCGGTGTGAATAGCTTGTTGCACAATGTCGAGATGTTCTGTAAGACGTCATGTCACTACGACCTGGCGCACGTATTTTCAGTTCAAGTATATCACCATTAGACTTCACATCTTTTCATCTCCAGCACGTCTCCTTCCGACACGCATTTCAAGTACATCCTTCGCTTGAAAACGACATTTCAGTTCAAGTATAGCGCTATTGACCAGACAGCTTTCGATTTAGTTTTTCGTCGAGTTAGTTTACGTCACTCGTTAACGAGCGAGTTTTGCTTCAATGCTGAATTACTATGTGACATTCAAGAGCTCTTCGTAGTCAACGTGTGATGTACCTGGCATATTATGCACATTCAGCATTCATATTATATCGGATCAAATTAATCTAAAAAAATTATGCGGATTCAAAAGTCAATGTTGTCAGTGTGCTAAACACATCCCTACCATTTCACAATGTCTGCACAAATAGCACGCGCGTTTGATAATGCTATAAAACACATTTGCGCCAGCACTCGCTCATTTCCATTTACCTGTGAGAAATAACTCGACTAACAGCACTAATAAGATTTAAATATTAGAGATCTATTTTAGGTATCGACAGACCGTTTACGGTGTTAATGCAGGGGCGGTACACAAAACTCGTCTCGCCATAAAACTCCATTCCATGAATTTAGCTGGAAGGTATACCCGCTGTACACATTTGACCACTCGATGATAATCCGATGGTAAACTCCACAATACTCTGCAATTTTTCGAAAAAAAATTGTCACAATGAAAAGAACCCTACACCCTACAGCAGTGCTTCTCAACCTTTTTAAACGCGTGGACCACTTAGACTGTTGAAATTTTTTCGCGGCCCACCACCATAAATGAGGCAAGAAAAATGACATTGAAATTTAACAATTTTTACTAAAACTGATTAAAACTCATTCTGTATACCTTCAATGAGACACTTGAGCTTGCTTCTTGGAAATAATAAGATCAAGTCGTGGTTGGATGGGGAACAAGCTCACACGCAATGTGGCATTAAGAGTGTCTGCTTTGAGACTGTTTCGTGCTTTTGATTTTGTCACAGTTACAGTGGAGAAGCCAGACTCACAAAGATAGGTTGTGGTGAATGGTAACAGAAATTTGATGGCACGCTTTGACAGTGAAGGGTATTCATTACTTGCAAGTATCCAGAATGAAGGAAGGTCTTTCTGTGCAAGCTGAAGCTTCAGAGTACTGTCCGTAGAAAGTTCTCTTTTTTTAATTTTTTTTCTGGCCGAGTTCGCGGCCCACCAGAGAGAGCTTCGCGGCCCACCAGTGGGCCGCGGCCCACCGGTTGAGAAGCGCTGCCCTACAGCTCATACTACTCACTCACCCACTCTGCCTGCTAGCGCACGTTGATTTCAGAGATCGCAAATAATTTCCAGCGTCGCATTTCACCGTCTGCGTTTTCACGGGAAGATAAACCTTGGCCATCTCTACGGGGCCGTATATCAACGAGAGCGTATAACGTATGTACTTGATACTTAATACTTAATACGTTTTTGATATCAATTGTCTCTACCTCCCCCCCCCACACACACACAACACACGTGTATTTTAACATTATCGTTCGACGGCACTGAACTATACGTTGTGATGTGCGATGTGCTCATTAGCGATGTGCTAGCCAATTTGGATTCGTTCAGGTCTTCGGTAGGTTTATCTGACTCGCACGTAAAGTCGCTAAAAACGCTGCTTGCATGGTTTTCGTTTTCAGAGTAAGTTTGGCAGCCTATCGCTGGCCTTCAAGACGGACCGCACGACACTCGACCGCCGGAGGGAGCTGCAGCAGCGGTCACGTGACCTCGTCGAGAAAAACGTGGATATCGAACTCGAATCGATGCGAGACAGCGTCAAGGTGAGTGTGTGACGTCAGCGTCAATGTCGTCGTGACGTCGGTGTCAATGTCGCTGTGACGTCACTGTCGCGGTTACTGTGACGTCGGCGTCACGATTACTATGTCAAGATCAACGTGACGACTATGTCAATGTCAGTATAATATGACGTGAGGAAATGTGTCAATCTTAAGTTGACGACCGTGTCAAGGTTAGAGTAAGGACAGTGTCAAGGCCAATTTGACGTGGTTCCATGACGATTTATTGACAGTATCGAAATACCTAGTACTACACAATCGCCGTGGACCGAACAGAAACTCAAGGCTCTAACACTAGTTGACCTTATACTAGTTATCTAAACCAACATTGATTTTTATTGACCTTGGCCTTTCTGAAGGCCGCACACATTCGCTTCTTTAAATGGTCGGCAGATTCCGTATATTCGGCTAAACTCGGTAATCCTCCGCAGGTTTTCAGGGCCCGAACTACTTTGAATCGGTCGCGCTCGAAGGAAATCATCTCTCACGGGAATTAACTGACTGCTTCGGGCGGCAAAAATATCGGGCACGAGGCTATTGTATTAAACGTTACATTATTATACATTATGACATTATTTATATAGACTATTGTTTAATCACGGGTCCTACACACCATGTTTATTCATCATGGCGCAAGGTGCCTTAGACAAGGGACAGGTAATTTACTTCATCAACATCGTAGGTCGCTTCGATTCACCTTCACCCTGCGCTCGTATCATTCTCCATTAGACCGTGAAGACATGCGATCATCAAATTTGTGAAAATGTTTTTACAAGCAACACCGTCATTTTGTGAGTATCACTTTCAAACGAACTCATTGCAGAATTGGATCGACCGCACTTTGCGAGTGTGACTGTCAAACGAAGTCACTATAGAATTTTGGCTCGGTCGTACGTTGCCGTAATTTCTCGGCACCTTGTACATTCCCATCGTACATTGTGGAAAGCAGGCACTAATCCCCGAAAAATGGAAGCAACTATTCAACGAGAGAGCAAGCAACGATTAATGCAACAATTGCAGTTTTTTTCGAAACACCGTTTCGCGCAGGTACTAGATGTCTATATCTTCCACTTAAAGCTGTGTAATGAAGCCTTGTATAATCATATATAGAGCTGACGTCCTCAAACGCAAGGGTAAAAGAGGTTATGAACCTCCAGATCCATGGATTGCTCCGAATCCCCTACCTTTACCTAAACCTGCCCTTTGACCTTTACATCTGCCAATCAGAGCACGTTCTATTACAACAGGCAGGGCTGCTAGACTGCTTCCCCGTACTTTCCTGCCTTTAAAACTACCAGGAACCAGTCTAATGAGCGGGCAGCGCGGCCGACCAGGTTTTGTGAAATCGCCACGCCCCCAGTTTTAGAAAATTCAAAGTGTCGCTGTGACTTTTGTTTTGTTTCGCATTGGCATTTCTGACTGCCGCCGTAAGTGCCTTTTGCCGTCGTCGGCGTCGTCGTCGTCGGCAAGCCACTACGCTCCCCGATTTTTGATAAGATGAATGTTGAAGCTCGCCTGTTGAGACGTTTTTGCGTTTTTTTCTTGCTCTAGCGCGAAATGGCGTGTGCGATGGTGCGTGCGCGCGCGCGAGAGAGAGAGAGGTGTGACGGAAGAGTCAATGACGCCTGCATGATTCAAGCATTGTACAGTTGTCGTGTGTTAGATATACGATGTTTAGCTGTAGCCAGGAAAGCATTTATTCGAGCAAATCGAAGGCGAGGGAACGTCGCTTGACGTCATTGGCGCAGTAGGTAGGTGGCGCACTGGCGCACGCGGGGCACAATGTAAAAACTGCGAAATAAACTTTTCGCGTGTTTCGCGTCGGTCTAGTATACATATCCGCGCATAAATTTCGGCGGGAAAAATATAATAATATATAATAAATATATATATGAAAAAATACATTCTTAACGCCGAGGCGAATCCATAAACCCGTTTATCTCGCGTGGAGTATCACCTCCGAGCAGCAAAATGTCGGTGAAGATATATAAGAAATCTGCGCTTCGTCTGTGAATAATACTCGCTTTACTAACGAACGTTCGCGCCCGACTCACTCTAGGGATGCTGTACGGCTGCACAGCTCGATTCTACTTACCATGGCCTCTACTGCAGTGTAATTCGTCGGCCTTGCATCTAAGGAAAGCTAATAGCACTTAGAGACAGTACTACTGTGTGTATGTGTGTGTGTGTGTGTGTGTGTGTGTGTGTGTGTGTGTGTGATGTGTGTTGTGTGCGGTGTGTGTGTTGGCTGTGTTGCGTGTGGCGTGCGTGCGTCTGCAGTGCGTGCGTGTGGTGAGTGTAGTGTTCGAGTTGGTGCGTGTGTGTGTGTGTGATGTGTGTTGTGTGATGTGTGTGTGTGTGTGTGTGTGTGTGTGTGTGTGTGTGTGTGTGTGTGTGTGTGTTTAAGCAGGTACTGTTTCCCCAATCTCACTGTAATCTACGCGGATAGCTACAAAGTTTGTTATGGATATTACTGAACATAGTCAGGCTATTCAAGTGTGACACGGCAAAAAAAGAAAATGGTGTGAATAAGGGTGCCCTACTGCGTGGATGAAGGTATCTGCATATAGGTAGCGATATGCTCATAGAAGGTGATGGAAAGGAAGACGATGTTAGACGAAGAAGAACAGAAGAAGATGATGAAGCAGAATAAAACAAAAAGGAAGGACACCGAAGAGGAAAAGACGAGGAGAAAGGGAAATAGAAAAAAAAGAAGAAAAAGAGGGAAAAGAATAATAATAATATAAACAAGAACAATAACAAGAAGACCAAGAACAAGAATAACATGATAAAGAAAACGAAGAAGAATGAACGAAGATAAGGAAAGAAAAGATTAAAAAAAAGAACAGAATAGAACAAGAAATGAATGAGAGAGATGAGCGAGATATATAGAAACTATTAATTTAAGAGAGTCTAAAAATAATATAATTAAAAATAATAATAATGGTATAATTTAACGATTATAACAGTACATAAGCTGCTTAGGATTAATGTAGAGTGCATTATGATAAGATTAACTGGTCAAGTAGACTAAATCATTAGATAAAACGTGCGCCCAATGGAGAGCATATAAATTTCTGAACTCTTTTTGGTAGAGAAATATAAAACGGTGGAAGGTTGTCTGACTTCGAATAATAAGATTACATAATTTGGTAGATTTATATAAATGGTCGCAGCATTTCCTGAATCTGATTGGCCAATAATGGATTTGGCTGGTCGTATGTAATGTAAGCCGGACCTGAAAGGGTGGGTAGGATATGTTTTACTAGACACTTCTAATTTTTAACATGATATTTTAAACGATATATTTACTAGAATCAAAAAACGGACTAAAAGTGTAACCGCAGCTAAAAACCTACCTAAACCCTAACCTGAACCCTAACAGTAACCTAATTAAAATTTAAAATATAATTATCAAAAATTAGATGCCTAAGTAAAAACATATCTACACCACTTCTAGAACGGACTGCATGCCGAATATGCCGGCGTTATTCAACGAGTACACCACTCATGTGAAGAAGTGGGTTAGTGAAAGCGCATGCAATCGAGGCTAACGCTTATATATGAATGAATAATTATCAACATCAGTATAAATACTATAATATTAAAAAATAGAATTTTAATAAAATTATGGAATAAAAAGTAATTAATAATAAATAAATATATATATATATAACTAGAATATAAAATATAATATAATAAAATAATTATAAAAATTTTAATATATTGAAATATATTATTATAAGATATAATTAGAAAAGATGAGATATATTTTGATTGAATTATATTAGTTTGAATCTGTTTATTTGATATAATCTTATGAGTTTATTAAAATAGATATGTATTATTAAATTATTAGATTCATTAAATTTAATTAATATTCGGTTTAAACTAAAAAAAAAAGATGATCTGAGATTGATCTGAAACGATTGAGAATAGTAAATCTATACGCTTGTCACAAGGAGAATTGAGTATTGCATCAGAGGAGCTCGGCCAGTTGGCTCGGTGAACCAATAAACGTCTATGATAAAATTAGTGCGTATATTGTAACAGGTAATGGACATGTAGATACATCACAATGGTCGATATATGTATATAGGAATGTGAATGTAGTTGAGAGAGTTAAAGAGTTTAGGTTAAGAAGATGATGTGATATTAAGTGATGAGTAGATAGTATATTGTAGTGATAATGATATAGTTGGTACAGCTATTGATGTTTACTTATATACAGTTTGAACAATTGTGAATGAGAACGGAGCGAAGTAGCGTGACTATCTATTACTAAACATAGCCAGTAACAGTGTTGTGTGTGTGTGATAAGGCTGTGGTCGCTTGTGACAGCCGGAGCCATGAAGATGACTGTTATGAAATGAGAGCTACGGGTCGCAACGGCAACCAACAAGATCGAAAGGTAATGCCCAAACTCGCGCGAAGCGTCTTCCGCCGCCGCGCCACCTCTAAACACGGACGGGTAAACGGCGCGGTGTGTGGTGTGTATGTAGTGTGTGTGTGTGTGTGATGTTAGTGTGGTGTGTAGTGTGTGTGTGTGTAATGTGTGTGTCTTGTGGTGAATGTTGCGTGTGCGTGTGCGTGTGTGTGTGTGTGGTGCGGCAGATGTGCTGTGCATGTGCGTAGTGTGTGGTGTGTGTGTTGGTGCGCGGCCGCTGCGGGGTGTGTGTGTGTTTGTGTTGTGTGTGTGTGTTGTGTGTAGTGGTGCGCGAGTGTGCGTGTGTGTGTGGTGTTGTGTGAGTGTTCGAGGCGGGCGTGTGTGTTGCGACGTGTGTGTACGTGCACGGTGTGGCGTGCGCGCTCCCGTGTGGCGTCTCGTAATGATGTTTTGGCGTCTGATGCTGCGAAGCGTGTTGGCGTGGTGGATAATGTAAGTTTTTGGACAAACTATTTTAGCTTATGTGAAGGGAGTTGTTGAGTTATTGTATTAGGAGGGTTGTGAGGAATTTTAGGTGGGTTTATCAAACGAAAAAATCTTGCCATTTTGGCCAAATCGAATTTAGGAGAAAGCGTGACAGATTAAATTGCGCACCGATGTAGAATGTAGGAAGTTAGTGAAAATGAGTCACCTTTCTAAGCAGAAGTTGTGTATATTGGAGAAGAAAGTGATGAGTTGGAGCTGTGAGGCAGCATTAATGTGAAGGCACTGTCCAGACCGTGACTAATGAGTGGGGATAATATCGACTTCGGTAGCGAACAATAGCTTTAGCTCCTTGCTAAAGCTCGTCTCTGTCGTGGGAGTATGTGTGGGGGGGCGTGCGTGTGTGGTGTGTGTGTGTGTGTGGGTGTGTGGTGTGGGTGTGTGTGTGTTGGTGTGTGTGTGTGTGGTGTGGTGTGTGTGATTGTGTGTGAGTGTGTTGTGGCGCGTGTGTGTGTTTTGTGCGTGCGTGCGTGCGTGTGTGTGTAGGGGGTGCGTGTAGGGTGTGTTTGTGTAGCGCGAGCGCGCGCGCGCGTGTGTGTGGTGATTAGTGTGATGTGTGTACGTTGGCGTGCGCTGTGTGTGTTTGTAGTGCGGAGAGATTGCACGTGTGTCGTTTCGGCATGCATGCGTCAATGCATGCGTGCATACGGGGATATATGTAAGCGTGCGTGCATGTGAAGTGGGCGTGACGACGGTATTTGTCTGGCGTGCAGAGTAAAGCTATCACGGTTCATAGCAACTGTACCGCAGACAATTATATTAGCGATATACGATATACAAGTTTAGTATATATGATATATTAATATATATAATATATACTATATATATATATAATAACATAAAGAGCCGTTTTGTTCGCTTCAACATCTAGGTCGTGTTCGATTTGATGGAATAACCGTTTGCCTTTGATGTAGAAACACACAGTTAACAACTGTCAAGCACAATTAACAGGTATGTTGCACGAGAACAGATAGCATGCCGGCATGCAGCATACGTAATAAAAAGTCGCCACTATACCAAAACACGCATGTACGTAGGTAGATATAGCACACAATCAATGCAGATATCTCATGTCATAGCCTACACCATAGAAGTAGCTGTCTGTTGTACATGCAGTATATACTCGTGATTTCAGTAGGTGCCACAGTTGCGCCATGGAGGTATTGATACGCGAGGTTTTGAACTCTCTGTTTGCCCCTTATAGATACTAAAAACCTTAGATCGTCGAGTTACAACAGCCTGACGAAGAGACTAACACCACGCGAACTCACACCACTGAAGCCTATAGTTTTCATCGCTGGATTCAAGTGATTTAACACAAGCCGCACGCACGCGGGGGCGCTGTAATTGATTTCCCTCCCGTGGTATGGAGCAGACCGAGGCCTCCACGTCACACCTTAGATCAGCTTAAATTAAATTGCAGCATGCAAATTACAACTATAGATGTACACGCTCACGCGCCCGCTCACCACCATGATGCAAAAGCACGCCGCACGCAACATGAAGCGCAACGCGCGCGCACTAGTGTCCCGATCACGCAACGGACGACGCACGACATACACGTATGACGCACGCAACGCGCGCGCCTAAAAACATAGTAAAACATAGCATATAATACATCACACTGCGCGCGCAGCGCACACACACTCTACGCACACAACATGCCACACACACACACACCACACATACAGCACCACAACCGCACATGTACACATACACGCACACAGGATCGCATAGGCTTTATTTCTTCGACGATATGGTAGGTCTTTTCGCATCTTTTTGCGTCTCTAGGGGAATGCGCGAGATTGCTTTAGTTAATAAACATCACATCACACACGGTGCCGATCAGCGCTAGACATGAAACGCACCGTTAACAATCTCAGTAAACGTTGACAGAGAATGCCTATCATGCACGCACTTCTGCGGGGACGGATGGAATAATATACGCATACCGGAGCACAATCATCGATGTACCTGGCCGCGTGACACATCGAGCTATCACATATGCGTGGCCTGAGGAGCACGTCATTTTTTTCACATTTTGCTTTTTGTCCTCACTGTGACCTTAGATGACCTCGGAGTTTCAAATCCAATGTGCCATGACATTCAGCATACAAAGTGTACACCTACTGTGATACGTCTTGGACAGTGTTTAGAGTGCACATATTGATTTGGCATTGAAACAACAAACACCGACATACTTTCGCAAATATGATACATAGATATGTCGTGACTGCTTTCAGAGTGAAGAGTGAGCAGCGCAAGATGTGATGGTGCGATACGTGGAGATGCTGTCCTCACGCAAAGATCGCGACACTCAGGCTCTGGAGGAAGCGAGGTGCGTGTTGGAACGGGATGCGGGGATAGGAGGGTGCGGGATGGGTGCGGGATGAGGGAAGGGTGATGAGAGGGTAAGAGGGATTGGGTACGTGGAGTGAAGATTTGCAGGACTTGAGGGAAGAGGCTATGTGTGAATGTAGGTGCGGATAAGGGAAGGGGTGAGGTAAGAGGGAAGAGGGGATTGGGTACGTGGAGTGATAGATGTGCAGATGAGGGAAGAGCGATGTGGGATGTAGGGTGCGGGATAAGGGAAGGGGTGAGGTAAGAGGGAAGAGGGATTGTTAGTGGGGAGTGTAGATGTGGCAGGTGAGAGAAAGCGATGTGGGATGTAGGGTGGGGATAAGGGATTAAGGATGACCGAGCGGTGTAGAAAGCGTTGCGGGCGTGGACAGACAACTACACTGCACATTACCACAGCCCATTGTCCATTGTATGTGCGTGCGTGTGTGCGTGTGTGTGTGTGTGTGTGTGTGTGTGTGTGTGTGTGTGTGTGTGTGTGTGTGTTGTGTGTGATTTGTTGTGTTGTGTGTGTGTGTGTGGTATTATGTGTGTGTGTTGTGTGTGTGTGTGATGTGTGTGTGTGTGTGTGGACGCGTGTGTGAGTGTGTGTGTGTGTGTTGTGTGATGTGCGCGTTGTGTGCGTGTCACCACGTGTTTGCTGGGCGAGCGAGCGTGTTAAGGATGTGGGTGAGTGCCTTTTTGTTTAAGGATCACTCTATCCGTCCGAATCAATAATTAATTAATTACTGTTAACTAATAGCGGAATCGAATATCTTCGTTCTGAATAGGGCGATATCATCCTTCGAAGAGCCGGATCGAGGATTATTATCCGCCTTCTTTGTTTGTTACGGGATGGTTAAATTTAGAATCCATGATACAAGCCGACGCCATATCGATTGCAGGCCGTGATTAGCGGATTTGCGTCATGGCTGTCACGAGAACAGTAGTGTATCATGACACGTACTCGATCATTCAAGCTCCCCAAAATCTAATTCAACAATCCTCTGTCCAGAAAATTGTCTTATTAGTAAGAAGCGTACATGTAGGCAATAGAGCTAATAGACCATACCCACTATTCTATAACCAATATAACATCTAGCCTACAGCGAGGTGGTGGAGAGGGGGGTCCACTCTCAGTTTTCCAGTTAAAAAGCAATTTCCCAGTTACCGGCTAATTTATTTGGTATTTCCCGGTTCCCGGATAAAAAAATTGGTTCAATCCGCGACCCCAAAATTAACCGTTCCCCCTATAGGCACTACTACGTGCCATGTTATTCAAGCATTTATTGACTGAATTTGAAGGGCTATTCCTCTCGAAAATGACATTTAGTAATTGTTTTTTTCAATTTTCAATTTATTTAATATAAGATGTTCGAATTTTGCGTCATAACTATAATTGTGTAATATATTTGTGTTCGAATTTCCAAATGATTTTCAGTCGGAAAAAAATCCATCTAACCAAACGCATTACACAGGGAGGCGCATGCATTTTCCCTTTCCCTCGCGCACCCTAGTTGTTCACTGAATGCGTTAAAAATAATCGATTTTTCTTCCCGCAGAAAACTATTAGTCGCAAATAAAGTTGTTCTGCCGCCGGCTCTTCAACCAGGTGAGTGATCACTCACTGCGCATGCGCGCATATGTCCGGCAGCTCTCCGGAAATACTTTGTTCGCGAAATCGCGGGAACATGTGCGTATAGTAGGCCTACATAATCGATGCGTGCACGAATAGCCATCGTGTTCGCTGCTCTCTATAGACGTTTATGGTAATTTCGGGCGTAGACGTTGGATGTAAATCTTCGGCGATTTACACTTTACGCGTAACGATTGATCTATTAGACGGGTATGGTAACGACTCTAGATTTATTTCAACAGAATGAATATGTCAGCGATCTAGCCTTTGCTTGGATGCTTTTTTCCACCGTGGAGATATTTATTTCTCACCCGTCTTTCACTCTCATCGCGTAATAGTAGTAATATTGGCAGTAGCATGAATATATGTAAATAACACATATGTTTCACGGTATAGTAACGATAGGGGTCTCAGTAGCAATATGCTCATTGCGGTTTATACTTTTGATACAGGATCCGATGCAAATAACAAGGTAAGATGTCTTCCGTTGCACCTTTACGTCTTCATGCTTAGTAAGTCAATTTTGTTACGTTAGCTACGTGCTAGTGCGCATATTTTTTTCATTTCTTGTCTTTTTATCGAAGTCTCAACTTCGGTAATGTTGATTTATCAAGTGCGTCAAACGACATGTCTAATTTCACATGAGTCCGCAAGCTTTCACTGTGGGCAGGGCCGATCGTAGCCGATGATTTTCGTAGTTAGATATACATAGACTAGCCGCTCGGATTTCTTGTTTAGGAACGAGATAGAACTTTGGCATGCACGTTGGCATGCCTCGCTCGTCAGACAAGATGGCGGGTCCGCATTAGTAACGGAGCAACGCAAGCACGTGCCATACCTGTGGCTCGTCTAGTTGCTAGGATGCATGCTCCTTGCCAAGAGATACGCTGGCAACTAGTGCTGTTAACATCTTGATTGGTCTCAACCTTCTCTATTTGCATGGTGTCTCAATAAAGTATAGATGATTTTTAAGCTTCATAGACAGCTACGAAGAAAAAGGAATCCGAAGTGGAAGACTGAAATGTAAGTGGCTTGAATATCTGCGTTCATAACACACCAGCAACACGGTAAATATGTTTCAGCAATATTAACCCTTAAGCGCCGTCTACTTCTTAGATAGGTATTACAGCAAAGGTATTACCCCATCACCACCGCCAGTCACAACAACTACGACGATGACGATGACGACGACGACAGCAAACGACAACAACCATAAGACCATGATAATACACTACGGTGGTTTTAAACAACTCCGTTTTTACGGTCAGCGTCGTAAATGCATAATAGCGACGGTTGTACAAGTTTTGCCAAGAAATAGATAAACATGCGCCAATAAAATCAATGGTGCCTTAACCTTAACCCTAACCCTCAACCCTAACCTAACCATAACCATAACCTACCTTATATTGATATGTGATTAACATATATTATATTGATGTAAATGACATGCTGTTTTTATGTGGACCCATTGTTCTCTATCCTTGAACCCAAAGTTTTGACCTGCAACTCGTCTTGATCTTTTTGTTATCTCGCGTTTAGGTAATAAAGGAATACGCACTTTCGAACTGCGGCAGTGAAGGCCTCACTGTCGTTAGCATCCAACAAATAGTTACGTTGACTTCCAAGGCCATACGCCTTGGAACTTTCCTTGTCTTGTTTAAGATTTTTTTTGTTGTCCTTGCCTACTCGCGAGCAGAAAATACTAGCGACCACGCTCCTCGACAGTCGCAGCCCGGTATGACTCCGAAGCGCGAACCAGCACCTACCTGGTGTTGCCATTACGCAGATACCTCGCTGCCAATATGATATAAACTATATAGCAAATCCACTTTGTGTAGTACATAAGCCCCAGAATCGGTGAATTGAGCAGTTCTGGGCTTGCCACAAGTTTTCGACTTTCCACGTAGGGCGAGAAAAATCATATGGTCGTTATGTATTTTTTTATTAGGCGCGCGTGCTTTCGTTTAGAAAAAGAATTTTCCTTTATCGCTTGATTTATGCCCTGACATTAATTTGGAAGTTATCGCACCCATAGATGGGCTTGCATCCATCTACACGTACATTCACAGTTTGTTTTTTAAAAACGCTGGCTGCATGAACGTAGACTGCCGCCGCGTCGACAGTTCACACGCTACGTAACTTGATTCAGTGTTTAAATCACCAGTCTACCTCGAATTCGTGACTCGCACTGTCATTTCTCGTAGACATCTTAGTACGCCGTGATTTATCGCGTTGACCTTGTTTACACTGAGAAATGGCTTAATGTGGAACAACCACCACCGTATTGTGAATTAATTACCCCCATGCTCCATGTTTGGCATCTGATCTATATTTCAACCATGTATATATAGCACAGCGCAGCGCATATATATACTAAAAGTGACGGTGCCACAGTGAGCAACTGGCGGGTTAGTGTGTGGTGCATATAGAGCATTTACAAGGATTTGGACAGAAACTGTCGCAATAATAGGTGAATAGGAGTATAGAAACTTAAAGAATTTTGTAGTATAGCATATTAATTCGTATTTATTAGCATTTATTATTTTACTGAAACGTCTTCAAAGTGCTATGTTGTCGTAACTACTCCTCGTAATAGTATTAGTATTCTTAAAATAGTTTGACGTAAACTGTATACTACATTCGACTTTTCACGTGGTTTTCTACACGCTCACAAACAAAGAACGTTCATACGCACACATGTGATAAGCCTTGTATTGGCACTATAGCACTATAGCATGATAGCATCGAGTAGATTAGGTTAACTCAATCTCATGTTCTTCATAGTTTACCCTTATGCACCGTCAACGAAAGTTTCTTAAATTATTACTTGTTGCCTTTCAATTGTTTCTGTATACAATCCCCTTTTCCCCTTTAATATCATTGTAAGTTGTATGTGGCTTTAAGTACGTGAAACTCGTAAAAGTATGAATTGTCATAATTACATTCCTGTGGCCCCCTTCCCTAATAACTTTCTTTTATCTGCAATTCAAGCATGTCTCTGATTCATGTTTTATTCTGACCTGCTGCTGCAACAGTGTCGATTGCTTGCGTTTTTTCTGTTTTCTCCCGCAGCGCGCGAATGGTTTTTGGCCGTGGGCTGCCGGCTGATTATAACTAAGCATGTGTACAATACACGCGTATGCCGTGCAACGAGGTAACTGCCGCCGTGTTTAATTCATTCGCGCGCCCGTCCAGGTTGGGCGCCGCAGAGACGTTAAACTACAATATAAAATTGCGATAAGAGTTACCAAAGTGCTGAGTGACGTTTGGGAGAGTACAACGTATCGCGGCCTGGTTCTACCACAAGCCATGCGCTCATAGCATTTACTGCCGTAAATGTTGTGCGTACGTAAAAACACGATGTGTGCGCTGCGGACAGCGGTAAGCATCGGCTAGCAATACCGATCTTACAATATTCACATTTGAATTTAAAAAAAAGTTAAATTTAAAAAACAACCAAATTTTGTTGTTTGTTAATTTTTTTATTTATTTTTCGTTCGTGCTTTTCACTTTCCATCCGTTCGGAAATTACCGAAGAACACATATTTGACATAGAAAATCGCAACAGAATGAGAGGTAGAGCAATAACAACGGTGCTATACAATCAGGAATACAAAGAAGTGTGTCTAGACGGCGTGTGACAGGTGAGGGGAAAGGGTACGTTAGGGAAGTGTGAAGGAGGAGTGTAGTGTGGGACAGGTGAGGGACAGTGAGCGACAGGTACTGTGGGACAGGTGCGACGTGTGGAAGGACGGAGGTACGTGTGGGACAGGTGAGGGGACACGTACGTGTAGGACAGGTGAGTGGACAGGTACGTGGGACAGTGTGAACGGGACAGGTACGTTGGGACAGGTGAGGGGGACAGGTGAGGGGATAGGTACTGTGGGAGCAGGGAAGCGCGACAGGGACGCGCGTGGGACAGGTGAGGGACAGGTACGTTGTGGACAGGTGGGGACGGTACGTGTTTGGGACAGGTGATGGCCGGACAGGTACGGCCGTTTAAATAAATATAATGCTAACTAAATCGAAATATATTTACTACGAAATTGTTAATGTTTCTAGTATATGCCTACTCTCTTTCAAGAAGCGTTTGCGAGGCTGCAAAGGCTATATAGTAGACTACGACTCGCTCCCACCCTCGATTAGCCATGTGAGTGACCTAAGCCTAACCGAGAGGTGCGAGAGAGTGGCAGTCTTATGTGCTTATTAGGCGGCGGCGCAGGCGGCGCACTGCTTTCGAACTGTGGCCGTACGAGGCCTCGCCATTGGAACGTTGCAAAAACGTTGCAGCGTTGTCGGGCGCGAAGAGCGCCGTAGGTGTTTCCTTGATTCTGACAGCGTTTGCTTACTGGGCCAGGTTCCGGGAATGTCACATTTCGACAAGTCTTTCTGTGACTTTCGCGGTGACACAGCTCGGGTTACGAACAGATTTCTCTGGCTTACATTTTCTATAACAAGTCAACACTGTTCACCTCCAAATGCTCTCCCTCTGTTCTTTTGTGTCCCCACTAAAATTGCGGACTGTGCGGCTGGCAGCTATTGGATCCGTGCGCCCGCCAATTCATTACGCGCGCCGGATCTATAGCTGCCAAGCGCTGCATACTGTCGATCAGGGACGTTTTCCGCAGGTCGCGTGCGGCTTGCCGGAACTTGCGCGAAAGATCCTGCCGCTTCAGCCGGCTTCGGATTAAATCTCCTTTCGGGCAACGCTTCTCGTTAGTACCCGTCTCATCTGACGTTTGATAACGTTTGTTGATGGTTGGCATTCAGTGATTGAAGGCTGATTAAATTCTATGACAATTCTTGTTACTTTATCGTCTTCCCTTTTATTAATTGTTCACTGGCCGTCTCCTTTCGTCGCGGCAGTTCACTTTGATAAGTTAGTTGTGCGTTGCATCTCTGCCTGTAAACAATCTCTGTTTTTTCAATGCGAGTGGTGATACTTCAGTGATAGCCATTTCGAGGGTAATTAACACAATAGATGCAGATAGCATCACCGCTGTGGTTTACCGTAGCATCGTGTTTACTCATTCGAACTGCAGCGTTGTCTAATTCAGTGCTGCGATCTCAGCATTAGCAACCAAGTTGTCTCACGTTGTAACCATATCCATATTATCATATGTGTAACGTAGTTTCACGGCAGAGTTCTAATGTTGGGTGGCAGCGTTTCTGTTACGCTTCAGTGCTCCTGGCTACTTCTGATGTGAAGCCTGTGAGTAGAGTTCAAGCTCAGTCAACCTTGAGCCTAGGCTCCAACCAATCAGAGAGTGCCGAAGCCACCCTCAGACGTTTTAATACAGAGATAATAATATAATAAGAAGAGAAGTAGAAGAGAGGAAGAAGTAGAAGAAGAGAAGAAGAAGAAGAAGAATGCCGTAGTTTATATTCGCACTATTGCTCTACATCTGTCTCTCTTCCTTCTTCCTTGCTCTCCTCTCCTTTCCCCGCCGCCTCCTCCCCCGCTCCTCCTCC